GAATTAACATAATTTCAAAGTAAACTCGCTTTTTCTTTTTTTTTTTTTTTAAGTACATTTTTGGTTCATATATCATAGAAGTTCAGTGGTGAATTTGCCTCAGGCATAAGTGGAAAGAGTGTCATCACTGATATTTTCTCCCTGTTTCCTGGCATCATCTTCTTCTCATGGACCTCAGTCTTGGAAAGACCCAATGCAGACATAAACATGAGGAAAATGTCAGATATGAATTGACCAGTAGGGTCCTCAAGAAATGCAGAGCTACCCTCTCCTGTGGTTCCAGGAGTCACCCTAAGTATGCAGCCTGGATAACTTGCCAGTTGTGAAACCAAGCAGTGTCCAGGCCAGAATCTCACTCCCATTGCCGGAGCTAAGACCAGCCCCAGCCAAGCATGGGCTGTGAGGCGGTGAGCAGCTCTCCGAGGAAAGTGAGTGGCTTTTAGTAGAAGCAAGGTCCAGGATGCCCAGGAGGCAAAAACGTCAACTGCTCGACATACTTAGTCATGGTCACTTTAGCCACCATGCACGTAAAAATACCATGTTCACGCTTTACTATAGCTTAAGTCTGATGATTCTCTCTGTATGAACTATGACTTTTATTTAATCCTTTCTTCTATTGTGAGACTCCTATTTAAGTTTTTGTTCAGTTTATGACCCAACATTCTTTATATTTGTCTTTTTACATAAAGCCATATTTTTTCCATTTCTCAGGCACAAGAAAGAGATTGAAGAGAGAGATAAACCACAGCCAGACCTAGACAGGAATAACAGGGACAGATCAGAATGTTGTATTTATTTATTCATCTTTATCTTTATTTCTTGTGGCAGCGAGGGGTGGCTCGGGCTGTCTGGAGCACGCACATATAGGAATAGCAAGGAGGAGGCGGTTAGGGTCCTCCTAACGGGTGGGGGTTAGGGTCACACTTCATGAAGAGGACTGTAGCACACTGCAGAAAAGAGCTATAGACACACGACACGCAAGGTCTCACCATCTCAGTATCATAACGTTTCAGTAAAACGGTTACAAATCATGGATTTTATTTTAGTTTGTGGTAACTTGCAAGCGACACTTTGGCCTCTCCGTGTAAGTCAGCCCCTCCTCCATTCTCTTTGACTTAAGAGGCAGATTTCCCCTCTGCTTTGGGAATACCTTCAACACCTTCATCTCAGAGATCACTGATTGCAGTCCTTGGGGTGTGATTGAATGAAATCCCCACCACAGTGGAGTTGCTGAGCTCTTATGCAGGGGAAATTACCATTTTTTGGATATTCGGTCACTGTCTCCATTCCCTTTTCAAATCTTGGACCACCAATAATTTCTTCACAATAGTTTTGTTTGATGTGTGGGGACTCACTTATGTTGACTCTTAGCCCACTGTGTTAAGATTTAGTTCTAAAAGACTGAAAAGGAGTATCGAGCTGTATACGTCACTTACACGTGGAACTGATTTGGGGCTTCTTTGTTAAAGTCTCTGCTTCCGGATGGTTTCTGTGGAGCTAGTGATGTTCCCTGAATATATCAGCTCCTCCGTGGTTGGCTGGCTGTGCAGTTTGGGGACTGTTTTTCTCATCTGTGCGTTGCCGTCCTATTTGGTATTTATAGCACCTTCCAGACGGGTGCCTTCCTCAATTTAATTATTATCCAGTTTATCCTCCTTTCTGACATCATTCATGAAAATGTTAAATAAGACCGGCCACGATACCTACGTCCCCCCAGCACGCCCCTCAACACTTCTTAAATTGATGCCTTGCCATTAATCATTAAATTCCTTTAGCCAACTTAAGTCCCAGGAAGAGTGTTAATATTGAATCCAGTTTGAGCTACATTTTAATTAAGATTTCCTGAGACATTATGTTAGGTGATTTACTATAATCAAAATTGATATCTCCTCTGCTCCTCCACCCACTAATTTTCTAATTTTACCCACATATGAAAGAGAATTGAGTTGGTCTGGCTTGAATAGTTCTCCATAAATATACATCACTCATCTTCTCTGTTTCTGCAAATAGTTTCCTTCTCCCTTGCCTTTAGGACCATGTCAGTCATCCTCCCATAAGTCCAGAATGATTTTATAAAATGCTTTTCCTTCTGGCAGCCACATCTGTCCACCCCCAAATCTCAGCTAACTGAATGCCAACCTCTCAAATTCCCTTCTTTCCTCTCAATTATTTTTGTAGCTGCTGTTTCTATGCACATTATCATTCTAAATGCAGTTGATAATGACAATAGGAACATAGTATGCATAGCATTTCCCCTTAGGCATGATGGTGTGTGTAAAGTACTTTGTTTACATTTTATTAGGGTAGGGAACATGGAATTTGGGCATTAATTAACACAGCGTTCTTAAAACTGAATGCAAGTGAAAATTAGGGACTAGAAATTGATATAAAAATGTCACAAATTTTTTTCTATAAATTTTTTTTTTTTAACATTTATTTATTTTTGAGAGACAGAGCACGAGCAGGGTATGGGCAGAGAGAGAGGGAGACAGAATCCAAAGCAGGCTCCAGGCTCCAAGCTGTCAGCACAGAGCCTGATGCAGGGCTCAAACCCAGAAATGTGAGATCATGACCTGAGCCAAAGTTGGACATTTAGCCGACTGAGCCACCCAGGCGCCCCTCTGTAGTTTTATTTATTACAATTATATATTTTTTTCTTTATTCAACAGGAACCTTTCTTTAAGTTTAAAGTTACTTTTTTTTAAGTTTATTTATTTATTTTGAGAGACAGAATAGTGAGCATGCATAAGGAAGGGGCAGAGAGATGGGGACTGACAATCCCAAGTAGACTCCAAGCTATCAGTGCAGAGCCTGACATGGGGCTTGATCTCATGAACCATGAGATTGTGACTTCATCAAGAAACTTTTGTTGTTTTCCCCTTATGTGTAAACTGTATGAGGTCAGCTTTCTTATCTCCATCCATCAGTTTTGGAATGATGAAGACAAAAAATTCTGTGTATGTTTGTAAAATGCATAAGATTTCCCAGTAGAATCTATTTTTTCTCCATGCCCCCCATCCCCACCGGGTACATTTATATTTATCAGCAAGTCAAAGAGGCTTATTTAGCACATTAGATTATTCTTACCTTAATTTTGCTTTATTAAATGAAATTATTAACTGCTTTCACACATAATAGCCCGAAACTAACTTGTATGCAGTAGTTTTAACAAATGTCTATAACCACATGTGAATTAGCCTTACAAATGCTCATGTGGTGTTATTTCAGGGCCTCTGAATTCAATCCCTTTTCTCAAAAAAATCTTTCTTGGGCTTGACAGTCTAATTTTTAATAAGATTTTCTACAATCGCAGATGCATTTCTGTGATTTTGCAAAAGTAATACCCTAGGCCTTTTGCAGTCTTTCATAAATCGGTGCAAATAAGATTTAAAGACCTTTCCTTAAACTAAATGTAAATAAAGAGGGTACAAGGACAAGAGACTTTCTGAGAGACAGAAGGAAAGTCTTATGGATGTAAAAATCAAGAGCAAAGGGAAGAAAGGGAGTAATGAAGGCCAACTTCGCCCACGTCATTTTCTCCAGTGTCACCAGGCAGTAATATGTGTTTATGTGTCCAGAACAGGAGGGAAGGTAGAGGAAAAAAATTAAATTTCCCATAGTGATATTAGATTTTCTGTTAGAGCTTTCCTCTTACTTCCTTTAGTAAATTAAAATAAAGATACTCTTCGAGATCCAAAACTTTTATCACTTTCATAAGAAAAAAAAATCCTTCTTGCCGTGATCGCTTCGGAATCCAAGCACTGTAGCATTGGCTCAAGAAACAAGAGTGAATGTGCCAAGAGATCTTTCTTTACCTACTTTTATTTTTAATGTTACTTTCTTTGTTTCTTTGGGGGGGTTTTGTTTTATTTGGGCTTTATTACAATAAACATTTTTTTTAATTTAAATTTTGGCTAGTTAACATGCAATGCAATGTTGGTTTCAGCATAATTCAGTGATTCATCACTTACTTACAACATCCAGGTCTCATCCTAACAAGTGCCATCCGTAGTACCCATTCCCCACCTAGCCCATTCGCCATCTACGTCCCTCTGTCAACCCATAGTTTTTTCTCTATCAATAAGGGTCTCTTGTGGTTTGTTTCCCTCTCATTTCTGTTTCTTCCCTTACTTCCCATATGTTCATCTGTTTTGTTTCTTAAATTCTACGTATGAATGAGATCCTATGATATTTGTCTTTCTCGATTGACTTATTTCACCAGGAATAATATACTTCATCCATAGGTCCATCCACACTGTTGCAAATGACAAGACTTCATTCTTTGTGATCACCGAGTAATACTCCATTATATATATATTACCACATCTTCTTTGTCCATTCTTCAGTCAGTGGACATTTGCACTCTTTCCACAGTTTGGCTATTGTTAACAGTGCTACTATAAACTTTGGGATACATGTGCCCCTTCAAATCAGCATTTTTGCATCCTTTGGTTAAATACCTAGTAGTACAATTGCTGGGTAATGGGGTAGTTCTATTTTTAAGTTTTTGAGGGACCTCCACACTGTTTTCTGGGCAGGCAGAGTGCCTGCCCCAGTTTGCATTCCCACCAACAGTGCAAAAGGGTTCCCCTTTCTCCACATCCTCACCAACTTCTGTTGTTTCCGGAGTTGTTAATTTTAGCCATTCCAACACGTGTGAAGTGGTATCTCATTGTGGTTTTGATTTGTATTTTCCTGATGATAAGTGATGTTGAGCATCTTTTCATGTGTCTGTTAGCCATCTGGATGTCTTCTTTGGAAAAGTGTCTGTTCACGTACTCTGCCCATTTCTTCACTGGATTTTTTGTATTTTGGATGTTGAGTTTGATAAGTTCCTTATAGATTTTGGATACTAACCCTTCATCTGATATGTTGTTTGAAATTATCTTCTCCTACCTTTTGCCTTTGAAAGCAAGCTCCTTTTGTTGGGGGAGTGGAATGACATGGTGGTGGAAAGTTAGTTGAGCCCCGAAGACTGATGTTGTGATTTCCCGTTCCAGCTCACCGCGGTGGATGCAGATGAAGGGTCCAACGGGGAGATTACCTACGAAATCCTAGTTGGGGCTCAGGGAGACTTCACCATCAACCGAACCACGGGGCTCATCACCATCGCTCAGGGGGTGGCGCTGACAGTGGGGCGCACCTATGCGCTCACAGTCCAGGCTGCAGACAACGCGCCTCCTGCAGAGAGAAGGTAATTCAGAGTGCAGGCAGTTTGCCTTCCGAGTGCCCGGTTACTCACTGGTACATCAGGGAAGCACAGCAAGCATTCGGTTACTCTACAGACCTCTACATTAGACCAGAAAATGACAGGGACAGGATTCTCAGGAACTGCATGTTCTTATGTGGTTATGTTGTGGGGAAAGGACAATAAAGACAAGATTCAGCCACAAAATAAGTAACCGTGATTTTACAGATGTGAGGGAGGCAGGTGTCTGCTCTTGGGTGGAAGTGGGGACTGGGAAATATCAGAAGCGTGTAGCAAATTTATTGCTGAAAGGCAAGGTTGATGACAGTACGAGGTCACAGACATAGCAGTGACATGAAATGTCTGGGGTTTGAAACCACCTCTCAACCTCTGAGTAACTGTTCAAATATATACATGTGGACATATATATACACATATATATTCTATCTGTATATATACAAATTCTGTGCATGCATATATATGCATGTATACAAGTATGTGTTCTCTATATATTCTATCTATAGGTTTATTATATAACTGATCATTTACCTGTAAAATATATCTATATGTATTCCATATATACATATACAAATATATAGATACATAGATGGTGTGAGAGAGTAAAAAGCAAAAGACTATTATAATGCATTTATCTAGTCCCCCACCTGAGATACCTTTTTTATTAATTCCTTGCTCATTTCCAGATTTCCAGTAAGCATTTAAAAATATATATAGATGGATGAATAGTAATTCATTCCTATACCTCCTGGGTTATTTCCCTGCTCACCACATATTCTGGGGTTCTTTCAATATGAATACTGAATAATTTCTTCAAAACTATTTTCACAGCTACATAATATTCTTCCATACGTATATAATACTGTGTTAGAAACCCACTATAGATGGAATTTTCAATTCCAGTTACTCTTTCACTGACAATGAAGAAATAAATGACACGGAACCTGTGTCACCTTGAATGTGTGCTGATATATTATTGCAGTAAATTCTCATTTACCAAACGGGATATACAATTGTAAGTTTTAGTGATAATGCCAAATTGTATTCCATGGGGCTCATGACAACTTACGGTTCTGTCAGGTCTGAGAGTGGATAAGTCTGCAGTCTCCCCAGCTATATGTCATATCCAACGTGGATTTTTGCCAATCTGATAGATAAAAATAACATCTATTTTTTTAATCCATGTCCTCATGAGTAAGTTTGAGTATGTTTCCTGTGCTTACATACAAGCCCATTCTGTTACTTTTTCTGTAAAGTCTGTGTTCATCATCGTTGTCCATCTCTCTATTGATATGCCAACCCCAGGTTACAATTATTTGCTATCCTCTATTAATGACTTTATAAATTCATGCTGTACGTTTAAATCATTGTTGCATTTGGAATTTATCCCAGGGTACCATAGGAGGTGGCAATCAGCAATTATAGTTTTAGACTATTCTGCCATTTTCTACATGCAGTATGTTAGATAGTTCACCTTTTCCCACCAATTTGAGATGTTGCATTTATTATATCATACACTTTCTCATTTATTTGGAGTTCACATGAAACTTTCTCTTCTATCCCATTAGTTCTTTTCACGAGCTATTGTCACAATTTTAATTGTTAATCTTTATTTTTGTTGTTGTTGTTGTTGTTAATGTTTATTTCTGAGAGAAAAAGAGACAGAGCATGAGTCAGGGAGGGGCAAAGAGAGAGGGAGACACAGAATCCGAAGCAGGCTCCAGGCTCTGAGCGGTCAGCACAGAGCTCAACGTGGGGTTTGAACCCAGGAATCACGAGATCATAACCTAAGGCAAAGTCAGAGGCTTAACCCACTGAGCCACCCAGATGCCCCAACTGTTTATGTTTTAAACTGTGCTTCATAATATGGTGGTGCTAACTTATCTCAGTGATGTTTTTCCCTAAAAGTGTCCTGGTTACTCTTTCTGTTAATGTTTTGACTATATGTAAGCTTGTTACATGAAGTTTTTAAACTACATTTTTATTAGAAACACATTCAACTTACAAATTAATTAGAGTTAAAATGAGTGTTTTTGATGTCGAGTATTTCTGTCCAAGAACTTTCTGTTTCTGTATCTGTCCTTGCTTTTGTGTCCTGTAGGAGTTTTTATTTTTTAAATATTTTCTTTTTTTTTTTTTTTCAACGTTTATTTATTTTTGGGACAGAGAGAGACAGAGCATGAACGGGGGAGGGGCAGAGAGAGAGGGAGACACAGAATCGGAAACAGGCTCCAGGCTCTGAGCCGTCAGCCCAGAGCCCGACGCGGGGCTCGAACTCACGGACCGCGAGATCGTGACCTGGCTGAAGTCGGACGCTTAACCGACTGCGCCACCCAGGCGCCCCTTTAAATATTTTCTTTATATGAATCCTGTGCCTTTCTTTCTTGGTCTGTTTCCGTATCTTTTGTTGTTATTATACGTAACAATATACAGTGATGTTATATATGTGAATTTTATTAATTTTAACCCACTTTGTTATTTAATTCTCTTATATTTTTGTAGTTTTCCAGTCAATTCTCTAGTGTTATCCAGGAATGTATTTTATAAACAGTAAAAATTGTGTGTCCTTCTTTCCATTTTTTCCCCTTTACTTTCATTTGCTAATTGTCTCAATAAAAATGCTTATCTTGTTTTTAACTCACATGGGAACATCTCCCAGGTTCCCCATTATATTAGTGTATGTTTAAAAAAAAATTTTAATTATGTCAAGAAAGTTTTTATTCCCATTTTATTGACTTTTTAAAATAAGAAATACATATCCATCATCTATGAAGACAGTAATGACTGTTGTCTTCAGCTAATCGTATAATGATTGATCTTAATATAGTTCCTGAACAAGTCTGTTTTACATTCTTGGTACGAATCCCACTGATGTTTTAATCTTGAATTAAACTGCTGGATTATGTTTATTTTATGTAGTGACAGGAGTCTGTGCTTTTTTTGAGAAGTTTTTATGAAGATTTGATGTAGTTGTTCTGATACCTCATAAAAGAAGCAAACAAAAACCACCAAAAATGCAGGGAAGAAATAACAAGTGTGATGGCAAGTGCAAATAAGTGCTAAACATCTCTAAAACCAGCAAATAAATCCAATTTGCTTCTGTGAGAAAAAGAAGTAAAAACTAAAAACATAATTACATGGAAAAAGCACCAGCTCACTTAGTCAAAAAAGGGAGAAAGTCCAATAATGGCTTCTAAGGAAATAATACAGCAACAGGAAACGAAAGGAATTGTAAGAGACAACTTTCCTTTAATATACGCAAAATTTGAAAACATGAATGAAATGGGTCATGTTTCCAGAAGATACGGCTTATCATTATGGATCCCAAAGAGGAAGAAATCAAAGAGATCCACCTCATAGAGGAAATAGAGGAAGTTTTCAAAGAGCCACGCCCCGAAACTGTGTCAAGGCCAGGCAGTTTGCCAAGAGGGCTGTAACACGACCAGTAACAGGGAGTCATTCCGCTTTGGCCACCCCTCCCCAGAGCACCCCCCATGCCCCCACACCCACTGGGCATGTCTCTTGCCTGTCACGGTGGAGATGCGGTAGGGCGCTCCCTGCTCCTCACGGATGTCTGTGCCCTGTTCCTCCTCTCCCTCTTGTCCTCCCGTTGAGTCTCATATCTCTACTCCCCGTCCTTGCTCCAGTCACCTGTAGATGACAGGCCCCTTGACATCAGTTCCTCTTCTCTCTAACTTCATCTCCCACCATCATGTACAGACGTGCAGGGATCCTCCACAGGAATTTCATTCACAGCTGTATAACATTCACTGCCACAGTACCTGCGTCAAAACTTCTCAGGGTCTCATGGCCAGGCTTGCAGCTGCTGTGTTCAAACACCCCGGAGCCATCCTCAGTGCCTTCTCTCTCTCAGACCCCAAGTACAATCTGAGCCGTACCCTAGAAACAGGTTCAGAAACCGACAATTCCCTGCTCTCCTTATCGGCATCCTGGTCCAGGCCCGCTGTTGTGCCCCAGTGTGGCCCCAGGGGTCCAAACCTCTTCTAAACTTCTGCAGTGCACCTTGAGTCCCTCCTCTGTGCGGGGGCCGGAGTGATCCTAGCAACACGGGAAGCACGCTTTCAGGCTCTCCTGGGGTCTCACATCTGACTCAAAGACAATGACAAAATCTTTAAAGGCCAGTGGAGCCCAGCAGTTTCCAGCTGCCCCCAGACACAGTACACTACGTAGGGTCACCTCTTCATAGTAATGTCATGTCCTGCTCCCCCGGCTTCTCTTAGTCCACTCCAGCCCTCATGCCATCTCCCCTTGTCCCTGAGGCCGGCAGCTGCCTTCAGACCTTCAGCCTTGACTTTCCTCTCTCAGCCTGGATGGCTCTTCCTCCCATTTGTCCACAGATCATTTCCTTCTGACCCCTACCCCTTCTTTCCAAATCTTTTCCAACAAACTACTTACAACTGCAACAGACTCTCCATGCTTCCACACCCTTTGTATCTACTGCACTTGTCACCATGGGACAAGCTATTGTGTGCCTTCGTTTAGGATATGACGTCTCTTGTGCGCCCAGCCTCCTCTCCACTGCAATTTTAGTTCACAAGGACAAGAATTGCTCTCATTTGGTTGTCTCTTGTGTCTGCAGAAGCCAAAACAGTTCCTGGAATGCCCTAGGTTATTAAATATATATATATATATATATATATATATATATATATATTTAA